ACTTTGGGCATGTTGCAAGGAGGGACAGGTCCTTGGAGAGGGACATCATGCTTGGGAGGGTGGAGGGACGGCGCAAGAGGGGAAGACCCTCTATGAGGTGGATTGATTCAGTGACTGGGGTAATTGGGATGGGTGTGTCAGAGGCAGTGCTATTGGTACAGGATAAGCAGGGTTTAGGGTTGTTGTACATAGGGTCGCTTTGAGTCACAAACGACTCGACAGCACATAACAACAACAACAACAACATGGTTTAAAGTCAGAAAGGATGTGCATCAGGGTTGTACCCTTTCTCCCTACCTATTCAGTCTAGATACTGAGGAAATCATTCAGGAAGCTGGGCTCTGTGGAGAAGAATGTGGCATCAGGATTGGAGGAGGACTCTTCAGCAACCTGTGTTATGCAGATGACATAGCTTTGTTTGCTGAGAGTTAAGAGGATATGAAATACTTGCTGCAGAAGATCCAGGACTCTAGCCTTTGGTATAAATTACATCTTAATATCAAGAAAACAAAGGTCCTCATTATGGAACCAACAATCAACATTATGATAGAGAAAGGACTGAAGCCAGCTGCCAATGACTTAATCTTGCTTGGATCAACAATCAACACCCTTGGTATCAGCAGTCAGGAAATCAAAAGATGTGTTACATTGGGCAAGTGCACTGTGAGGGACCTCTCAAATGCTGGAGAGCAGTGACAGCAGTTTGAAGACTAAGGTGTGCCTGATTCAGGCCGTGGTCTTCTCAGTCACCTGCTATGTATCAGAGAACTGGTGAATAGGATGGCAGAAGAAGAATTGATGCTTTTGAGTTGTCGTGTTGGAGACGAGCCCTGAACATGCCATAGTCTGCTCAAAGAACAAACATATGTTTTGGTAAAAGTGTAGCCACTTCTTTTCACCTCTGGCTGCCAAAGCAAAAAGATCTGCCACCATGTCTTCCCACCTGCAATGGATGGCCATTTGTAACAACTCCAGCTTCTTGATCAAGCAGAACAAGACCTACAAAGCTCACAACTCCTTCCACTATAATGGGCTGATCCACCGCAAGACTGACTACATGAGGGGGTTGTGGTGGTAATGAAGTGCAAGTCAGGCCAGAGGAAGCCTGCCATCTCCCACGTTCAACCACCATTCACAAGAATGCCTGGGCCATGCTCAGCAGCATGTAGCACATGACCCACAAGAATGAGTATCATAGGGAGCTCTGGTGGCCTACTGGCAAGAAGCTGTACTGCAATCCCAGAGGCACACGGTTCTAATCCACCAGATGCTCTGCTGGAGGAGGAGGTAATGTCTCCTCCTATACCGGTCAGATCAATTTGATAGTACACACACACAAAATAATAATTTTTTTTAAAAAAAAAGAATGAGTATCATCCAGAACTGTACATGGCCACCTTCTGCAGGGCCAGCGGCATCCTGCGCAGTCAGAAGAAGCCTGTGATGGTGAGGAGGAAGCATATCCGCGCCAGCAAGAGCTTGTGAGCCCCTGCTGCCCATCAGGAAAGACAACTCATCTCCACGAAAATTAAAAAAAAAAGCAGCAGTGTACTCCTTGGAAGCAAGGATGGTATCATTCATGGAAAGATAGAGGGTCAGAGAAGGAGTCAAAGATCTCCAATGAGATGATTGACACGCTGACTGCAACAATGGTCTCTAGTGTATCAGAGATGATGAACTGGATAAACTGGAACTAAAATTTCACCACGGATGACAGGAAAGTTTGCCATAGCTCTGAGTTAATTGGGTCAGAAAGCTAACAAAACTAAAATCCTTGATTGTCACAGATTTCTCATCACTCAGGTAATTCAGAAAACCTTAGGCTGTGAACTCCATATAACCTTCTAAATTGACAATGCCTTCAAGCACCTGGCAGAAGCAAATGCAAACTCTCTCTGAAAGAAGATACGTAAATTTCTTATAAATAACCTCTCAAAGAAATAAGTGGCTCAAAGCAAAACATTACTAGCCACACAGGGAAACCAGATTCCACGTGTGAGAAGCTTTAAAAACAATTGACAACAGACAGGAACCCAAAATGACATATGAAATTGGAAATACATTTTACATTAACAGTAATGTATATATAAGGGAAGTAGATCTCAATTAAGCAAAGCACTTTTGAAGAAGAACAAAGCGTCTCCCACACCCCAATTTCAAAAGAGCTATGGTAGTTAAAGCCCCCTGATATGCATTGCCAAACATGTAGACCAGAGGGATAGCATCAAGAACCTAGAAATAGTTCTGTCAGCTTTTACAGCAAATGATCTTAGCTGAAAGACTGCAAAATATTAAATGAGGAAAAGGTGGTCTCTTTAACAAATGGTGTTGGCAAAGCTGGATACCCATTTGCAAAAAAAAATTAAACAAGATCCATACCTCACACCATACAAAAAAAATTTAACTCATACTGGATCAGAGATCAGATGTAAAACCTGAAACTGCAAAATTATCAGAGAAAAAACTGGGAGCAAATTTCAGTCTTAATTTATAATATAATTATGAATCACAAACAAAAATGTGCTAGCTACAGAAGATGAACTAGATTAATGGAACTTGCCGAAAAGGAAATTCTTATGTGATTAAAAAAAACTTCTCAAAAAAGTTAAAAGAGAATGTACAGATTGGGGGCAAGGGAATACTTAACCGATTGCATATCATTATATTGTGGTGTTGTATACCATAGAGTCAGAACCGAACCATAGCTGACTCTCCAGTGAGTTTTCAGAGGCAGTTCATCGCATGAGAGATTGCCCACCTTTCTCTTGTGGAGCAGCTGGTGCATTCAAACGGTGTGCCTTCGAGTTTGCAGCATAACTTGCCACTAGGCCACCAGTGCTTCCTAAATTATAATAGCTAGAATTTATGGAAAGTTAGTTATCA